GTTATATTTGTCTGACCTACAAGTGCCTCTTTTAATGTAAATGTAAGCAAGATGACTGAATGATCAAAAGCAATGTCAAACTGGCCAAAACACTCAATTTCAGTGGGGGTTGAATAATTTTGGACACAACTGTATATGAGTCATTTGCAGTCACAGATCACATTTGCCTCAGATATTTCCATCTGTCCTGTAATAGATCAAGCAGAGATAGCGGGAAAAATGTTCAGCGCAGGACTCAACCACTTCACCAGTTCGATGCTCTCTGAAATCTGACGTCTCCCCAAATTTGAGGGACTGTTTGACAGTCGCAGCATTTCCTAGATTAACAGATCTCTGAGTGATTTTTACTTATTGTTTAGAGCTCATGCAACCATTATGGATTTCACTTCTTGTGTGATTCATGCAATCATAAGCATTAAAAATATCCATTTATTTCTCTTATTTATTTTGTGTTGTGAGATCAATATTTTCCATCTACGAAATAAGTCAGATAAATATTTGGGCAGGCAAGTCATTGTGACAATAAAGAAATGCCCAGTGCCATCTAGTGGATACACAGTGTAAAGCACTCAGAGTACACTGGAAGGGGCCCATTTCGCAAGTCCGAAAAAACCATCTATTCCCATCCACCAGGTTCAAAATCTGAGGCTTTCTGTGAACATTTATCCAGTTTTAGAAGGAAACCCAGACACGCACAAAAGACACTTTGTACCAGCTAAAGGTGGTAAAGGGAAACTTTTCTGAAAGAAATAATTAGGCTGCTATTGCTGATTCTTCCTTCTGAGAATGCAAGTTGCCTGGTTGTCATGTTAAGAGGGGCTCTGATAGGGGCCCTGATGTCAGGAGGACTCGGATGGGTGGCCCTGACGTAAGGAGGGCCTCTAATGTAAGGAGGACTCTGATGGGGACCTTGATTTACGGTGGGGACTCTGATGAAGGCCCCGATGTCTGGAGAGCCTCTAATGTAAGGAGGACTCTGATAGGGGCCCTGGTGTAAGGAGGACTCTGATGGGAGCCCTGATGTTAAGAAGGACTCTGATGGGGACCTTGATGTACAGTGGGGACTTTGATGAAGGCCCTGATGTCAGGAGAGCCTCTAATGTAAGGAGAACTCTGATAGGGGTCCTGATGTAAGGAGGACTCTGATGGGAGCCTAATGTTACAGGGACTCTGATTGGGACCTTGATGTAAGATGGGGACTCTGATGAAGGCCCTGATGTAAGGATGGTCTCTAATGCAAGGAGGAATCTGACAAGGGCCCTGATGTTAAGAGAGGCTCTGATGGGGACCTTAATATATGGCGGGACTCTGATGGCAGCTCTCATATAAGGAGGACTCTGTTAGGGACCCTGATAAAAGGGTGATGGGAAGTCCCCTTGGACTCCAATGGATGTTTTTTTCAGCCCACAAATATTTGTAAAATATACAATGTTTCCCTTGTACAGAAAGGTTTGGGGACCTGCATTAGACAGAAACTAGCATTTAACCCTTGCAGTACAAGGGTAGCCCCACTGCAAGGAAGGGTTTTTCTTTCCCCCAAATTGGGCTTTAATGAATACAGTATTTAAATTCTGGGCTACACTCTTGATACCTATTTGACGTAAAGAAGATACTTGGATGAGACATGAAACTGGATAAAGAAGACATGCTACCATTACCATTCTATGCCATGTCCTAGATAAAGAAGACATTCTACCATTACCTATGCCATGTCCTGGATAAAGAACACATGCTACCATTACCTATGCCATGTCCTGGATAAAGAACACATGCTACCATTACCTATGCCATGTCCTGGTTCAAGAAGACATTCTACCATTACCTATACCATAACCTGGATTCCATTACCTATACCATAACCTGGATACCATAACCTGAATACCATTACCTGGATACCATAACCTATACCAGTGATGGCGAACCTTTTTGAGCCCGAGTGCCCAAACTGCAACCCAAAACCAACTTATTTCTTTCAAAGTGCAAACACTGCAATGAAACCTGAATATCGAGCTTTTGGTTTAGAAAAAACAACTCGTACAGTAGTGCAAACTAATTAACAGTACAGGGATGACCAGAGACTGCGGACAGTACAGGGATGACCAGAGACTGCGGACACAGTACAGGGATGACCAGAGACTGCGGACACAGTACAGGGATGACCAGAGACTGCAGACAGTACAGGGATGACCAGAGACTGCAGACACAGTACAGGGATGACCAGAGACTGCAGACAGTACAGGGATGACCAGAGACTGCAGACAGTACAGGGATGACCAGAGACTGCAGACAGTACAGGGATGACCAGAGACTGCGGACACAGTACAGGGATGACCAGAGACTGCAGACACAGTACAGGGATGACCAGAGACTGCGGACACAGTACAGGGATGACCAGAGACTGCGGACACAGTACAGGGATGACCAGAGACTGCGGACAGTACAGGAGATGACCAGAGACTGCGGACAGCACAGGGATGACCAGAGACTGCGGACAGTACAGGGATGACCAGAGACTGCAGACAGTACAGGGATGACCAGAGACTGCAGACAGTACAGATGACTGCTGACCTTTGGGGGGAGGGGGAGCGGGTACCTGAATTTGACAGGTACCCGCTCTTACTTCCGCAGAGTTTTTTTTTTTATCTTACCTGTTCCTTTATCCAGCCGTGCGCTGTCTTCCCGGCTTCTGTAGTGTGGGCGCTCGTCGGACAGCCGGATGCCCAGTGCGCATGCGCGAGAAGCGCTGCGCTTTGTGATTGGTCCGGCGGCTTCTGGGATCTGTCATGTGTCCCAGGTACCGCCTTACCATTCACAAAGCGCACTGCTTCTTGCGCATGCGCACTTGGGACCCGGCTGTCACGCACACTACAGAAGCCGGGAAGACAGCGCGCCGCTGGATAGAGGGACAGGTACGGTCCCACTGCAGAGCTGAGCGGCCGGCCCGGTATTCTGACACGGTGGCGGTGGAAATACCGGACCGGCCGCTCTATATTCGCTCCATAAGACGCACTGACATTTTCCCCCCTTTTTTGGGGGAAAAAAAGTGCGTCTTATGGAGCGAAAAATACGGTATTCTCCTGGCGTGCCCACAGATAAGGCTCGGCGTGCCGGCTGTGGCACGCGTGCCACGGGTTCGCCATCCATAACTGACCTCAATACCATAACCTGTATTCCATTACCTATACCATAACCTGGATACCATAACCTGGATTCCATTACCTATACCATAACCTGGATTCCATTACCTATACCATAACCTGGATACCATAACCTGGATTCCATTACCTATACCATAACCTGGATTCCATTACCTATACCATAACCTGGATACCATAACTTGGATACCTTTACCTGGATTCCATTACCTATACCATAACCTGGATACCATAACCAGGATTCCATTACCTATACCATAACCTGGATTCCATTACCTGGATACCATAACCAGGATACCATTACCTGGATACCATAACCTGGATTCCATTACCTGGATACCATAACCAGGATACCATTACCTATACCATAACCTGGATTCTATTACCTATACCATAACCTGGATTCCATTACCTATTCCATTACCTGGATACCATTACTCTGGATTCCATTACCTGGATTCCATTACCTATACCATAACCTGGATTCCATTACCTATACCATAACCTGGATTCCATTACCTATACCATAACCTGGATTCCATTACCTATACCATATCCTGGATTCCATTACCTATACCATAAATACCTGGATTCCATTACCTATACCATATCCTGAATACCATTACCTATACCATAACCTGGATTCCATTACCTGGATACCATAACCTGGATTCCATTACCTATACCATAACCTGGATTCCATTACCTGGATACCATTACCTATACCATTACCTGGATACCATTACCTATACCATTACCTGGATACCATTACCCATACCATAACCTGGAAAATGAGACATTCTTTGTACAATATTGTGGCCTGGGATTTGTATTGTAGCCTTCCAGAAAACAGACTAAGAAATTGGAGTCATTCTTTAAGTCAGATCGTAGTTGGGAACTGTAAATCCGATCTGTAATGGGGGTGCTCCTGGTATCCAGACCTGACGGTTGCAGATTGCAGGCCCGGCAATGACAGAGCATCTTCAGCAGCGAGGAGGATAGCCGGGCACCTTAGAGATGATGCGGTTGCCGAGGCAATACATCCCCAGCTGCTCCCTGCCTGTAGATGATGTGTTCAGGTTAGGGAGGTTCTTGTTGTTCAAGGACTGAGCTCCATTCAGTGTTATTCACCCAAATCTAGACAGATAAGGCTTCTACAGCAACAGGAAACCGGTTATGCCGGCTCAACCAGACGGCTTCCTCAGTTTCTTGGCAGTGTCTCCTCAAAGGCCAAGACAAAGTGGAAATGCACGAGTCTGCCATCTTGTTGAGCTAAAACCATCGGCTGTCAGGAAGAATGTGTCTGCCTTGTCTGTAGCAACCAATCACATTCCAGATGTCATTTTCCTGGGGCAGGTTAGGAAATAAAAGCAATTGATTGATTGTTGTGATTTGTCCACAGGCTCTTGTAATACAGAAAAAAGCTATAGCTTCCTGTAACATACTTGTCATGCCTTCTTCATGTTCTCATTCAGATGTATGGTAGCCTGTCCCTAAGGACCGTGAGATGTATGGTAGCCTGTCCCTAAGGACCGTGAGATGTGTGGTAGCCTGTCCCTAAGGACCGTGAGATGTGTGGTAGCCTGGACCGTGAGATGTGTGGTAGCCTGTCCCTAAGGACCGTGAGATGTGTGGTAGCCTGTCCCTAAGGACCGTGAGATGTGTGGTAGCCTGTCCCTAAGGACCGTGAGATGTGTGGTAGCCTGTCCCTAAGGACCGTGAGATGTGTGGTAGCCTGTCCCTAAGGACCGTGAGATGTGTGGTAGCCTGTCCCTAAGGACAGTGAATGTATGGTACCGGACAGTGAGATGTGAGATGTGTGGTAGCCTGTCCCTAAGGACCGTGAGATGTGTGGTAGCCTGTCCCTAAGGACCGTGAGGTGTATGGTAGCCTGTCCCTAAGGACCGTGAGATGTGTGGTAGCCTGTCCCTAAGGACCGTGAGATGTATGGTAGCCTGTCCCTAAGGACAGTGAGATGTATGGTAGCCTGTCCCCAAGGACCGTGAGATGTATGGTAGCCTGTCCCCAAGGACCGTGAGATGTATGGTAGCCTGTCCCCAAGGACAGTGAGGTGTATGGTAGCGTCCCCAAGGACAGTGAGGTGTATGGTAGCCTAAGCCCTGTCCCCAAGGACCGTGAGGTGTATGGTAGCCTGTGGACCATGAGGTGTATGGTAGCCTGTCCCCAAGGACCGTGAGGTGTATGGTAGCCTGTCCCCAAGGACAGTGAGGTGTATGGTAGCCTGTCCCCAAGGACAGTGAGGTGTATGGTAGCCTGTCCCCAAGGACAGTGAGGTGTATGGTAGCCTGTCCCTAAGGACCATGAGATGTATGGTAGCTTGTCCCTAAGGACCTCTGCAGAGATCACATATCACCTCACCAGGCTGTCGATACAAAATCATACAAGGGAATAAAATAATACATGTCTGAAATAATGACATAAAAAGAAAAAATGTAAAGAATTAAAAGATACTGGTGGAGGTTTTCATGCCATCACTCACCGTACATAAGTGACACCTCCATATTTGCTCGCATGTTGGTAAGGAATAAAAACTATTTCTTCTGTATTAGATGTTACGTCAGTAGGTAGCCCTGGAGGTGTTCGGCAATTCCCCCTTTGGGTAGCCCTGGAGCTCTTGCAGCTAGTAGAAAGACCAGAATTTGGTTTTATATTAGCCCATCCCCTGCAAACACAAGAATCAGAAGTGACCGTCTCTGCTGCTTAGCAAACTGCTGTCAGTCTAACACAGGTGTGAACAAGCCTACAGGATTACAGATAGTAATACAATCCCTAAAAAGGTTTTAAGACACGGATGTCAAACTGGCGACCCTCCAGCTGTTGCCAAACTAAAATTCCCATGAGGCATTGCAAGACTGACAGTTACAAGTATGACTCCCAAAGGCAGAGGCATGATGGGACTTGTAGTTTCGCAACAGCTGGAGGGCCGCCAGTTTAACACCCCTGTTCTAAGCCATCTCTTCTTTAATAGAATGTGCTTTGATTGTCAACTGTGTCCCTTGGGGGATTTCCCATCACTTCCTTTTCTGTCTGACACCCACAGAGACAGGAAGTGGGGGGATGTCTCTCACTGTCTGACACCTATCCCTTCAACAGGAAATAAATTGTCAGATGTTTTAACTCTTCCCTGCTCTGCACAAAAGTTAAATATCACACACAAAACTTTGTGGAGCATAAATCATGATTCAGGAACACATGAAACAAATCTGGCCACACACATTACAGTCTGTTTTAGATTTTCCAACAATTCTGTATTGAAAGGCTTGACTGATGAGATATAAACTGAGTGGATTGTCTGGGTATGGTCTCGCTCTATGTAGTAATTGATGACCCAAAAGGGGATTGTTCTGTTTCAAATGCCACTTTTTGGATTGACCTACCTCCATAGACCCAGTCTGTCCAGACAGTATGGTTACTTGCTGACTTGTCACCATCCACAGGCAGCTTGACTCTTCAATAAGACACAGAAGTTGAATCCAATGCAATCAAATAATTGCAGTACATAACATGGGTTTCCAGTCTCTTGAAGTATAAAAAGACAATGGCATTCCTACGAAATGGTCACCTGTTGACTTGTCACCATCCACAGGCAGCTTGACTCTTCAATAAGACACAAAAGTTGAATCCAATGTAGTCAGATATTTGCAGTACATAACATGGGTTTCCAATCTTTTGAATTATAAAAACAAACAATGGCTTTCCTAAGCCAGAGTCACCTGCTGACTTGTCACCATCCATAGGCAGCTTGACTCTTCAATAAGACACAGAAGTTGAATCCAATGCAGTCAGATAACTGCAGTACATAACATGGGTTTCCAATCTTTTGAAGTATAAAAAGACAATGGCATCCCTAAGCCACAGTCCCCGTTGACTTGTCACCATCCACAGGCAGCTTGACTCTTCAATAAGACACAGAAGTTGAATCCAATGCAATCATAACTGCAGTACGTAACATGGGTTTCCAGTCTTTTGAAGTAAAAAGACAATGGAATCCCTAAGCCACAGTCCCCTGCTGACTACACCATCCACAGGCATTGGGTTGAATCCAATGTCTTTTGAAGTACATAAAAAAAATAAAAAAAAAATGGCTTTCCTAAGCCTACTCTCTATGAATAACGAACACAGACTGGGGAAACATGGAATAAGTGGGGAGGGTCTAGGACGGAACTAACTAGCACTAAAGAGGAGGGGCGGACAGAGCCAGAAAACAAAATCCCATAGTAAACAAGTTGTGGTAGTCCAGAACCTCAACTAGAGGTCTGCATATTACCGAACAATAATAACCTGATGTTGTTCAATGCAAAAATACAACAGAACAGAGAACACA